GTGCTGCCGTCGTATGTTGAATCGTTTGCAGTATAATTAAATTGTCTTGCAGATAAAAACCTAGAGAACGCGGAGGAAGCCGCAGAGCAGTTCAAGTTAATTCAGGCAGCGTACGACGTTCTCAGTGACCCCCAGGAGCGAGCTTGGTGAGCAGCGTTTGTCTGACAGCAGCCTGGAAAAGAGCTTTTAAATTCAGCCTCAGCCAGGACTTGGCATTCGCAAGTCAGCACGGGCCTCTGTGGCAGGAGCAGCCACTTCGGGGTTTGAGAGAGTTGAGAGCCACGCAACGTGCAGCCTCCTGGAGAGGCTCAGCTGCGCGCCCACACTTTCCGCACGGTGCTTCGGTGGTGGCAGTGGGCTGGGCACCCGGACACTCCGGGGACCCGGCAGTGTTGGCGTCTGTTTCTTCCTCCCAGAGCAGGAGGCAGCTGGCACGTTGGGATGGATATCCTGGTCAGTGGCCTCCCTGCCTTAGCGGGAAGAGCCAGCACCGCTCTGAGTGCATGCAGGTGTTTGGTGTGTTATTGATGGCTGGAGGTGGTAAGCCTTAAACACATACATAGTGTCCTGTTTCTGTAACAGTCCTAATCTGAAATAGGCAGGCATATCTCTTTAGGGGATTGCTACTTTAAGTGTTCAGTGTAACTTGTTTTTCAAATGGGCTGAAGCATCTACCAGATTTTGCAGACAAAACCACTTGTGTTAAGGTTGTCCTCCTTGAAAGGAAAGGAGCATTTTTCGATTTTTAAATGCTAACTTATGATTTTGGGGTTTTTGCGTGTGTAAGTATTGGATGATTTAAATAATGTACTACCCACTTCTGCAAGCTTATTGAAGCATCTTGCTCAAATGTGTTTGCTACCTGCCTGCTAAGAAATTGCTGCTATATATATATTGTAAATAAAGTCATAGTAAGTAAACTAAAGGACAAGAGAGAATATTTACTGAGCCTGTCTTTTTTTCTCACTGAAGACTTCAGATATGAGACACAAATACCAGACACTGGGCTAAGTTATACGTTGAGGTGATGTGTGTACTGTTTTAGTTTACCAGCACTAGGGAATGTTCCATGTTGCCACATCCTTGATATTGTGAATTTTTGCTAGGTATGATAATCACAGGGAGGCTCTGCTGAAAGGAGGAGTTGATGGAGACTATCAAGATGATAGTTTGGATCTGCTGCACTACTTCACTGTTAGCTGTTACTCTGGATACGGGGATGATGAAAAGGTAATTAATTAATTAATCAATCTTTAATGAGTCAATTTAAATTTCATGAAAAGTGTTGGCATTTGCTTCATGTTGAAAAGCTACACATCGAATAGTCGAGCACAAATAGTAATAATGCTTACACAAATCTTTCTAAGAGAAAACTTACGCTGGACACTTGGGGAAGCTTCCAATTAGTCATGATTGCCAACTATACCATAAAACTATGGAGTGTGTGTGTAGTATTTATTTACATTATATAGTGAAGCATTCCAATGCTTTGCAATGCCATCTGTCTATTCAGAAATATCTTTAACAAGCTAGAATGCTTCAAATGAGAAAGAAAGAAAAAAAAAAAAGCAGTGTAACAACAGTCTTTGGGGAAAGTGTGCTTCCTATAATGAATTCCATGCTGGATTTTAAGAGGCTCATCATAACTTAAAAAGCTCCAAGTGATTAGAAAAACCTCTGCCAGAGAGAATCCTTATCTGTCTTTGTCTTACTATAGTAGGAGTGAGTTAGTAACATCTTAATTCAAGAAGTAAAGAGCAGGATGCTTAATAGTGAATTTTATGCTTGGAGCTTCCTCAAAACTTGGTCCTGTGTAAGCAGAAACTTATCAACATCACCAGCATTTGGAAACCTTTTGTTCTGGTTTAGATTTGAATACAAGAGCTTGACAAGAGCTTGATGCATGAGAGAGGCACAGACTACATGAAGGAGATGGAAATAAAAGGGCTGGGAGAGAATGAGAACTTTATTAAACAGAAGGGTCTTGGTATCTAGAGCAAGTGCTTACAAGGCCTTTACCCCGATCTTGAATTGCTGTCGCAAAATTGCAGTATTCTCTAAAATGCACTACTGTAGCTGAGCATTTGTACATCTATTATTGAGCCATGCAAAATGAGTCAGATTTTCTTCTTTTTTTTTTTTTTTATTTTTTTATTTCAGGGATTCTTTACGGTCTATCGACAAGTTTTTGAAAAGATTGCAAAAGAAGAGATGGAATGTATGACCCAGGAAGATACTGAAGCATTCCCTATGTTTGGATATTCTCAAAGTGATTATGATACGGTAAGAGCAAGTGTAAATCTGAACTGAAAGTAACACAGTTAAGTCGTTACTTTGTCCCAAAATGAAATCAAAAGAAAGGCTCCTGCTGATCTCTGAGGTGAATACAAAGCCATGTGTCCATTACTGGAAAGGAAGTGCTTGTGTTCTGATTCATAATATTTAGGTGCATTAAAATTAGTATTTCCTGTTGGACTATATTATTAGCCAGGATTTTAGTGTGAGATGTCAGACAAACACTTCCCATTGGCATAACCACAATTATGCCAGTGAAACTTACACGTAGTGTCTTGCCTCATTTAGGGAAAATCGCATAGCACTTACAGCATAACAAAGCCTGTAGAAAGTGGGAGATGTGGTGGTTGACCTGCAATGTGAGCTCCCACTATGATACTTTTGTCATCTGTAATTATTTTGTAGTGAGATTTAATTTCCAAAATAGTTCATACTTTCCTTTGTGAAGCAAGAAAAGAAATGTGTGTGGGACACTCGAATTCTTGTCAACCTTGACAATTGTGTTTTATTTCAGCAGACTTAATTTTTTTTTTCTTAAGGTTACCAGTATTCCTGTGTTGAAATTAAATAGTAAAGTAATAGCACTTTCCCCAGTAAATAACTGCACAGTATCAGTGTGCTCAAACATTACTCCTAGTCAGCTACTTCTCTGTGGCACTTTTGGTAGAATTGGACTATATGACTGATTATTTAGGAAATTTGAATTGATATATACCTTAAAAAGGAGTAACTTCAGTGGTACAAAACTTGTCTAATGTTGAAAAGAAAATTGCAAATCAAACTAAGAAGTGTCAGAATGGGTGTTTGAATGTCAGGTAAAATGACAGGATGGCTTAACAAACTCCTTCAATGAAGTTATCTTGAAATATCTTTTGGAAACTGCTTGTGTTGAGGCCATGGGATAGGTATAGACCCAAAATAGCATTTATATTGTCATTTAATAACTGCAAAAATGTCTGGAACTCTAGTATGCTTGTTCATGCTGTTCTGGAAGTATATGGTATGGCAAGCTCTCTTGGAAAAAGAAAAAAAAAAAAAGGATTCATAGCGGTACCTTAGGGGAAATAGGCTTAGTTAAATGGGAAAATCATTATCCCTATTATCTTCTGTTTCCACAAAGAGATTACACTGTTGGAAGATTCCACCATTGGGGTGATCACTTCTCTACTCTGTGGTCATGGGAAAAGAGTTTTAGAAGGGAGCTACAAAAACTCTACAGAGGCTTCAAAATCTTTGATGTGAATGCTACTGAATCAATTTGCAAGAAGCTTGAGAGGCTTCTCCCCGGCAGCCAGGGAAGATATTCTTAGGTCTGAAACTTCCCAGGACTTCATAGGAAGAGACAACTTGCAGGTCAATTAAATGTAGAAACAAAAGCAGTTGGCTCCAAGTGTAAGTAACAGGCAAAACAAAATCCACCTGGGAGTTCATCAAGAGCTGCTGTACAGTCTTCTGGACAATGTCAGAGATGTGCTTGTATTTCAGGTATCTGCTGAGATGGAGGAAAGTCTTGCCTCTTAGAGCTGGTGAAGGGGAGGGTGATCCCTGTCACCAGCTGATGGCCATGCATCCTTATGCATGGGAGATATCCCCTTCTGAAGCAGAAATCTGAAACAGGGAGTCTAATCTCACTCAAGTTATTGGATTAAGTATGAATATTTATTGAGTATAGACCTAGGGTTTTGTGATAGCAGAGAAAAACTGTATATTGAGTTGCCTGCCAGAGGCCACAGCCATGAGCATTTGCACATAGACAGGCCAGTTAGAAATTAGTGTTGAGGCATTGATAGTTGTAGGACACGTGAATACCAATGGCAGAAGGAGGAGAAGGGAGATACTAGAATAAGAAGTATTAAACTGTTGAATTAAGTACTTCTGTGAGGTATTCCAAAATACAAACAGTAGTACATGTAGGATTAAGTAGTAAAAAGGCAGCTTAATGGGCTAAGTAGTGTAAGAAAGGAGTTTAGGCATATCTTATTTCCTGAATATACAAAATGCAGAAGGTTAATAATTCCTTGGAGAGGAATGGAGAATAAAACAAAAAAATAATTATAATGCCATTTGTTTTTAATCCAGCATTTGGTTGTGAATAGTAAAAGAAAGGAGAATAAGGAAAGATCATTTACTGGTTCTTTTTTCATGTGAGAGCTAGAGAGCATAATTTTAACCTGCAGTCGTAGAATTTCCTAACAAAACGGGAGTAGGTGCATCTTCACATAGTCCCTTGTTAAAGTGTGTAAGTCATGGCTTGATGATTCTGTGTGCCAACCCCACCTGGAGTACTGCATCCAGCTCTGGAGTCCTCAGCACAGGAAGGACATGGACCTGTTGGAATGAGTCCAGAGAAGGGCCACAGAAATGAGGTCTGGGGGAGAGAGCCTGGGGAAGAGAAGGCTCCAGGGAGGCCTTATAGCAGCCTTCCAGTACCTAAAGGGAGCCTACAGGAGAGATGGGGAGGGGCTCTTTATCAGGGAGTGTCGCAGTAGGATGAGGGTTAATTATTTTAAGCTGAAAGAGGGCAGATTTAGACTAGACATTAGGAAGAAATTTTTCACTGTGAGGGTGGTGAGACACTGGAACAGGTTGCCCAGGGAAGCTGTGGATGCCCCATCCCTGGAGGTGTTCAAGGCCAGGCTGGATGAGGCTTTGAGTAACCTGGTCTAGTGGAGGGTGTCCCTGCCCATGGCAGGGGGATTGGAACTCGATGATCTTTCAGGTCCCTTCCAACCCAAACCATTCTATGATTCTGTGAGTTCACATGGGTTAATAAAAGAAATATTAAACAAATTCATGAAAGAAAAACCCGTCAAGGGCTATTAATGTCCCTTTTGCACGGTATGCAGAGAGAATACACTGAGAAGAAATAGCACTATGTACATGTGTTAGTTTTGTTGCTCTTTTTGTGCTGGTCATTGGTTGCTGTTGGAAATGTATGGCTGATCTTTGGTGTAGTTTGGTGTGGTGGCTCTTAGGCAATAGGGGCACATGCCTGCTTGTAGACGGTGTGTCTGATTTTGGTAGTGTGTTGTGATTTAACCCCAGCCAGCAGTAAGCACCACACAGACACTCACTCGCTTCCCCCCTGCCTCCCCAGTGGGGGTGGGGAGGAGAATTGGAAGAACAAAAGTGAGAAAACTCATGGGTGAGATTAAGGCAGTTTAATAAGTAAAGCAAAAGCCACTCACACAAGCAAAACAGAAGAAGGAATTAATTAATCACTTCCTGTCGGCTGGCAGGTGTTCAGCCATCTGAAGTAAAGCAGGGCTCCATCACGCGTAACAGTGACTTTGGAAGACAAATGCCGTAACTCCAGATGTCCCCCCTTTCCTTCTTCCCCCAGCTTTATATGCTGAGCATGACGTCATACGGTGTGAAATATCCCTTTGGTCAGCTGGGGTCAGCTGTCCTGGCTGTATCTCCTCCCAACTTGTGCACCCCAGCCAACTCACTGGTGGTGAGACCTTGACTCCCTGTAAGCACTGCTGAGAAGTAACAAAAACACCTCTGCATTATCAACACTGTTTTTAGCACAAATCTAAAACATAGTCTCACACCAGCTACTATGAAGAAAATTAACTCTATCCCAGCCAAAACCAGGACATTGTGCTTTTCAGTTTGACGGGAGAAGTACAGCAAAGCTAAGTAACTGGGCACGAGTATCAGCACAGTCCAGTCCTGCAAGGGGATATTTTTAAAAGTTGCAGTTTGGAATAGTTTGTTGTAGGTTGTTAATTTGGCATGGTTTGAAATTTTAAAGGTTATTATTGCAGGTTTCTCTAAACCTTCATATGATTTCTCTATATTCTGGGGAGAAACTGTGTCCTCTGTAGAAGTCAAAACTGCTATAAAACTCCTGAATTATTTGGTACCGTTTTTGTCCCCCCTCTAAACAAGTGACTTATTAAATTTTTTTTTTCTTACAGGTAGTCCACCCTTTCTATGCATATTGGCAGAGTTTCTGTACTCAGAAAAACTTTGCTTGGAAAGAAGAATATGACACACGAAAAGCCTCAAACCGCTGGGAGAAACGAGCTATGGAAAAAGAGAACAAGAAAACAAGAGATAAAGCAAGGAAAGAGAGGAATGAGTTGGTCCGTCAGCTAGTAGCCTTTATTCGTAAAAGGGATAAAAGAGTACAGGCTCATAGAAAACTTGTAGAAGAACAAAATGCAGAAAAAACTAGGAAAGCAGAGGAATTTCGGAGGCAGCAGAAGCTCAAACAAGCCAAGTATGTAAACATGGAGGAAATATTTTATTTTAAACTTGGAGAAACTATCCATGAGGGTACTATATAGAGTTAGATTCTAATAATAGTTCCACTTGCTCTTTTAAGCATCCTTGAAAATTTCATGTATTAGTTTTGTTCTCAAGTCTGAGTCTTTGCATTGTACTGACATATAGAGACATGATAACTTAAACTTTTAAAAGTTTAAGAGTCTTAAAACTTAGAGTCTTTGCAGTGAACTGACATGTAGAGATCTAAGATAACCCGGGTGTGCTGCAGGTAACTGTCTGTAGTAGCATGGAATTCAGTGTGCTTGTACTTAACCTGGGGAAGTAAGGTGTAATAGTTATAATTTTTCCTTTAATGAAGGAGCTCAAATACTTAATAACAGTGCACTTGCAAAATAATTGCATATTGATTAAAATTATAATAATACTTAAATACATATGAAATATATTGTGTCAAATTTATTTATCTATATTGGTTTTTTTCCCTGAAGAGAGAATGAAGCTGAGGTGTGCACTTGCTGACAAATGGTTTAATAATTCTAAGTCCAAGAGCCAGCTGGAGCAAAATTCAGCTGTAGTGTGCTGCACTGTTTGATAACTTGGGCCACACTTAGATCTGGAAAATTGAGCTGGTACATTCCCATTGTGCAGAGTGAGGGAGTAACGTGCTTGTGTTTTTTGTGATCCTGTACTGTTTGTGGGTTTGGATATTGCAGCAGCTAAAAGCAGCTGTACTGCTTTGAGGACTGAGCGTGCTTTCCTTCTGTCAGCTTGATATTGACCATGCTGCGTAGCATTTCCTGCCTGAAATTCGAGGAGGGTCTGCCTACATTAATACCGCTTTGCTTGCAGCGTAAGTGTGCCCGCTAACATCACAAATTAACTGCTCACATGTTCAGGCCCTACAGTTATTTACTTCATCTTAATATGTTCAGGACTTTCCTCCTAAAATACCAGGGAACAACAAGTTATGTTTTAAATAATACTGTTTCCGCAGTTCCCATCTCAGTGTAGAACTTACTGTATTATTCTACTTAAAGGCTTGCCGAGGAGTATAAAGAGCAGAGCTGGATAACTATGTCAGATCTGGAGAGGGAGTTGCAAGAGATGGAGGCACAATATGAAAAGGAATTTGGAGATGGATCAGTTGATGAAGATGAACTAGAAGTGCAGGAGACAAAAGGCATTGAAGGTATGGGGTATGGGGGTGTGGTCTGTAGTGGGCTGTCAGCCTGAGTGTTGGCTCACTGGACGTAAAGCCCCAGATTCACAGCTCTGACTGTAGTGCAACTCCCTGTGTCTAGCTGAGGTGTGCCAGTGTTTTCCGTTGAACATGAGAAGATATCAACCTACAGCTGTTAATTTATGCTAATGTGTGATTTGGTGAGATGGTCTTGATCTGTCTGCATCCTAATAGTACTAAAGAAGTTGAGTGTGAGTGTTCTGACTATTTGCTGGGGATTTAAGAGCAACTTACTAAAAAATCACTTACCTGACCTTGTCTCTCTGATCCCCATTGATCTCTTCAGACAAACCAAATGATGAGGCTGAAGAAGCTGAATTTGTTGATGGTCTGTACTGCCCTGCTTGTGACAAATTGTTAAAAACTGAGAAAGCGTAAGTCCTTGTGGTTGGGGAACTGGAGGTGGGGGTGCTGAGTTTTAACTTTTTTAAAAATGCATTTTAAAGATTTGTCATCTTTCGAGTACAGACATTGTCAGGGCAGAATTTTACATACTTAGGAGTGATGGATAATGGGTCTGTTATTAATTTATATGTAAATATTGGTTGCTCAGAGCTACCTGCAGTAATGATCTGCTGGTCTTCACAGCATGAAGAATCACGAAAAATCAAAGAAGCATCGAGAGATGGTAGCACTTTTACGACAGCAACTGGAAGAAGAAGAAGGGAAATTTCCAGTATCTTTGGATGATGCAAATGGAATACATACCAAAGAGGAGGAAGAAACAGAAGACATGCCCAAACAGAAGTACTTGAGATTGGTTGTAGTTTTGTCATGACTAATGAGTCTTGGAGGCCCTCAGAGGGATCTTCTGATGATTTGAAGTTGTGTTGGAACTCAAGTTAGCATCAGAGTTCCAGTAAAATGCATGCGTTAGTACAAGTGGATTAAAATTTTGTAGGATAATTGTCTTATATTTTCTATGCTGCTTAAAGTTACATATTAAGGAAAAGTACTGATTGTTTTTCAAACACAGGAACTTGCACAGGGCCAGTGTTTCTTGATTTGATACTTTTTTTTGGTACTTTTGTCAGCTGGATGCTGGCATACATAGAAAATAGGCGTGCTTAAAAGTAGAATTGATGAAGCAAATTGCACAAATTCATTTTTTTGAATGGCCAAAGCATAATACCAGCTATCTCACTAGTATCTTCAAGTTCAGTCTGAGCAGAGTAAATGTTTTACTAAATCCAATGAGTAGTTTAGGAGAACAGTTGTTTTCATTTCAGCCATGAGTAATTTTCTGTCTGTGGCTACTATCTCCTTAATATCATGTTAAGATGATAAGCAAAAATATAACTGAGTACCTTTTTAGAAATTGTGCTTTTTAATTTATTTTTTTTAAACCAAATTTCTAAGGTAATTTTAAGTTCTTATCTTTACAGACTCTCAAAGAAGGAGAAGAAGAAACAGAAAACAATGATGGTATGGAATTATATAATGAAATTCAGGGAAATTTAAACACCAGTTTTCTTATCTCCTAATGTAACTTTTTTGTCCTGAAAAATACGGGAGAACTCGAAATTCTATAGAACTTGAAGACTGTTTTCAGATATTTTCAGTTCTTCTTTGACTGCAAAATAATTTTTATTACATTTATTATTATCACATTTTATTATAGTAATCTCATAGACCTCACTTTGTTCTGTTTGTGCACATCCTAATCAGTGTGGTGCTGGCTCTAAAAAGGCTACAGTCTGAAGTGTAAGGAAAAGAGACGGAAACAGGTAGATAGGGACAATGCAAGGAATTGATCAGAATGACCAGTAGTGGCCCTAGGGCATTAGCAGCTCAATTTGTTTGGTGGTCATTTTCTGCTTTGGTTGCTAGAGTTGGTATAATGCACTGTTTGCAAATCTCTAACTTAAGGGGAAAAAAATGTAACATAATATTGGCATCCTTCTGACACTGTAGTTGTTGGAACTGTCACATCCATTCCACCTTTCACTTGAATTGTAAACATGAGTAATACCAGTTAGTTGTACTCAAGGATCTGAGCCTGTGCATGATATGACAGACCTGTGCTGACAGCAGCAGGGTAAAATACAAGAACTGCAAGCTGTTTCAGGCTTGAGTAGCAGGAGCGCCATAGTGAGCAAACTCTTCAGTTTGCCTTCCTCAAGCTTGATCTTTTTCAAGTCTTACCTCTTCTCTACTTATTGCCTCAATCCTAGCCTTGTCCCATTGAGCAATCTGCACCGGGTCCTCTTCTATCCTTTGCCAATATGGTCTTGTGTCTTCCTCCAACCTAGTCCCGCTAGTCTCCTATTATGTGTTCACCTTCTCTGCCCTCTCCCACACTGTCATTATCTCTCATTCTTGAGAAACTTCCCTGAGACTTTTAAGCAGCTGAGTTTTTCTTCTCTTTGGCTGGTATGGCATAGTCCAAGACAGTATTGGCTTGATCTTCGTGCTTCCATGCAGGCCATCAGGCTACTTTTCAACTCTTGCCTCCTCAATTTGAAATCAGGTCTCATTCTCACTGTGCAGGTTGCAAATAGGCACAGTGTCTCCCATCAGTTTGGTCACGAGGTCGTCTGCAGCCCAGACAGTGGGTGCCACTCTTGCGTAGCATGAGTTGGAATCTTGTGTGGAGAGATTCTTCTGGAAACATCATCCTCTACCAAGCTCTACTGAGTGCAGAGAATTTCTATTATATTTGTTTTGTTTTCCTTGAAGATAGATGGACTAGCCAAGTTTTTTCAGGTAACTAAAACTCTGCAAAAGATACGAGAGGTGATAGAGTTGGTGGGTCATAGTGGTAGGTTAGATTCATCAGTTAGGAGCTGAACTCTTTTGCTTCAAACATGCTCCGGGACTGAACTTTTGCCAAACTGCATGTATTGATTCTACTGTCTTCTGATATGTGGAAAAGGCTGCCAGTGTTTCTGATGTTGGTGGGGGTAGAATACAGGGTGTCTATCTAGCTTCAGTTAGCTCAGTTATTTTTGCTTAAGTGCAGGTGTCTGGCACACAAGACTTTAGTCTAAATAATTAAAATTTTATTAATGAGTTAAGTTATAAAAAAAGCCATTATCTTATAATGTGAAATGGTACCCAGCACAGAATTGGCCCTGTGTTTAATTAAAAGCTACCTTCATTCTTCTCTTCCGTAGTTTTAGAGGCTGTTTTATTGGTGTTTCTTCCCTTCATCACAGGTGTCTTCATCTTTCAAAACAGGACAATTAAAGTTTTACCTGTTACAATCTAACTGAAAACAAAGAGTAAAATTGAGAGGGTCCATGGCTTTGTGTTCTTCCCCACCCACCCATTTTGAAGTAAATGAGAAACAGTATTACAAACATAATTACTAATAAACTTAAAGTACTTAACTTGCATTTCGTCTATTTGGACAGACTTACGAGGACTCTTTTGATAGAAGTGCTGATGAAGAAACAGTTGAACAAAAGGAGGTGCCTTGTGTGGGCAAGGACAGTGGCTCAGCAGAGGAGTTGGTAAATGATGGCCAAAGTTGTGCAGTGTCAGAGGACGCAAGTGCTACAGAAGATGTTGGCCAAGTGAATGAAGCAAAAACTGCAGTGAAAAGGTGCGCTGACTTGCAGTATTGCAAGTCATTGTGTCACTCTGTGTCATGTCTGATACTGTCAAAAGAGTCTAGATTTACTCACCAATGTGAACTGGGGGCGACTTCACTAAAGCAGAGTTTATGAATAAACATGATACTAAACAAGGAGTGTTAGGATCTACTTTGGAAGTGGCGTTTGTCTGCAGATCCCTGCCACATCACTTATCAGTAGCAGACTCATCATCTAGCTGAATCTTGAGATCAACAGTTGATCATATAAGTAAAATTGCTTTATTTTTTTGCTGGAAGCACTTGTGTTGTGTGAAGGAAGAACAGGGGGAAGCAGCAGACACACTGATGACTGAAAACCATTACAAGCTTTGAGTGTTCCTGTGCACTGATCTTGGTTTCACTTTGTTTATTAGCAGTATGAAGCCTAAAGGGAAAAAAGCCAAGGATGCAAAGAAGTCAGCTAAGGCATCTTCAGAGCACCCAACAATGGTATGTCAAATTACTTACACTATTTAAAAGCTGGTGGTCATGTTATTACAGACAAGGTTGGTTGGTTGGTTGATCACTTCCAGTCCACAAATTCTGTTTCAGGTTGGGTTTGTTTTGCTTATTTTTTAATAGTGCAGGTATTTCTATCCCTGTGATTTTATTAGAAACTAGGAAACTGGAACATCAGCTCTTGTCCTCACAGAGAAGACCGGTTCTAAAATTTCAGTTCTAAGAGAGTTGTTAAAGCTCTGTATCTGAGGCAGTTCAAACCAAATAAATATAACACCTGAAGACAGAGCTGTCAGGTGACAGGCAGTACCACTTGCATCTTTCGTGATACTGAGCAAAATCTTGTAATAACTACAGCTAAGACATACTAAATTCACTAAATCTCAGAGCCCAGAGTAGTAAGTGTATAGCCTTTTTTAGTCAGGTGAGATCTAAAGTATTTATCTTGAATTACATTTACAAGGCTTCTATTCTTCTTGGGTCTACTTTGTACTCTTTAAAATTTCAAGAAGTCATATTTGTGACTTTTTTTTTTTTAATCTGTATGTGTTTAATTGTTAATCAGTAATGGAATACCTGTGATAGAAATGAACAGCTTCTTCACATTTCATCTAAGAGAAACTGCATACAACAAATTAGTGTATTGTATTTATTACATATTTCATACGAATGTGAATTATTTTGTTTTTTCCCTCATTGTAGAATGAAGTTCCTATCCACTGTGTAACCTGCAACTGTGCATTTCCATCCCGAAATAAACTGTTTGAACACCTAAAAGCTACAGGACATGCAAAAGCAACACAAGCACCAGCTGTAAATGGAGCTGTAAACACCAGAAACAAAAAAGAGAAACGTAAAAACAGATAGAACTTTGTTACAGTGAGAGTCTTCAGAATTGTACATGAAAACTCCCGAAACTGAAAAGATGCACATTGCCTGTAGTTGGAGTTAAACAGAGAAGACAAGTCCTAATTTTTGGAAAAAAGGAAGATGCAACAAAATGAATATTCGTCTTGTGAAGGAACCTGTGCTTTCTTTTGGTTTTATCAGCCTTTCTTTAATGACTGTATTTGACCTACCATCTCAGCAGCTTTCATATTGGGGATAGGGAAGTAGCAATTCAAAGCTACTCCCCTCGTATTGCTGTAGAAACTTGAATGGGTCAAGTACCCACACAGAGATAATAAGAATTATTTTAACACCTGTGTTGCTGCTTTTCTTTTGAGAGGGCTTAGCTCAGGGTGGGTGTAGCCAATACAGAGGCCTGTGCTGCTTTCATCGTCTATCAGAGATGAAACATCACCAAGACATGGAAAAGCACAGACTTTTCTTCTGACATCCCTAAGGGCCCTTTCAAATTCCCTAGTTACATTAAACAGCAGGCACAAGGGAAAGACTAAGGTGACAAAACTGGTTAATCAGTTTTGGCAACTGCTGTTGGTGTTGCACATCTACCTGCATGCCAGGTATTGTGAAAAAAAAAAAAAAAAGCCTAGTAGAAGAGCCTTACGGGAGTAAGTGAAGTAAATGAGTGATGTGAATAAATCAACTTTTTCTGATTTCTAGTGAAAACACCAGAATTAGTATTGCACCTCTGTTTAAATGCATAATCTCCCTGATCGTGAGTAGCACTTCTTAAAAAAACAAAACCAAAAACAAAAAAAGAAAGGTGGGACTACAAGCACCACATGACAAATGCATTTTATACAGGACTTGTCAATGCAGTTGGAGAAGGCAGTGCTCAGCAAGGGCTGTACTATGAGGTTTGAGAAGGCCCTAGAGTGAAATTTTCCAGAAGCACCCATCCTGCATTAACTAAGTTTCTCTAAAGTTTCAACTCATCACGCAAAATGGCAGAATACTTTCCGTACCCTGGAAGTTGATGTCGTACGTTTATTTGGTCAAGGAATTACTCAAATGTTAAAATTTGAATGAAAGTAAAATAAGAGATGTACAGTTCTTGCTGACTGTCCACATTGGTTTTTGTGGAAACTGAAGGGAGTAACAAATGAAAACATTAATTTAAAAAAGTGATTATGTAAGAAAGAAACATGGCATCTTATGTCACCACTCAAAGTTTGCATCTTTGCTAAATGACTAATGGGCTGTGCTGTGCAATCGGAAAAGCAGCGGGAGGAAAAGTGTATTTTGGAGAGAATGATGATTGGATTAGAGCCCCATGATAACAATAATTACTGCAATTAGAAACTTTTCAACTCTGTGCAAACATTTTTTTTCATGCTCTAATTACAGTGTATCCTTGTAATAAGGACAAACACTTTCTGCTCTGAAACCTTCAGTCATGTTCTGTTCAGGGTGCTTCTCAGCCAGAGATTGACTATGGTTATGTAAGTGAAATCTCACAGGCTCAACCCTGCAGTATTACTTTTTGACTTATTTTTTTTTCTTATTTCAGTAAAAACAAATACTTTATTATTTGTGTGGTTTACAAATGCTTTTATTTATTGGGTATAAATGGCAAAATTTTGGTACCAGGGGTGGGGGCGGCAGCAGTGACCACTGTGGAACACAGTGGGTACTACCCTGCATCAGACCTACAGCACACCATTCAGGAGCGTGTGGTGCTGCTGTGAAAACATATTTAATAACTGGCAGTAAACACAGGCCCATATCCTGGGCTGCATCAAAAGAAGTGTGACCAGCAGGTTAAGGGAGGTGATCCTTCCCCTCTACTCTGCTCCTGTGAGACCCACCTGGAGTAATGCATCCAGCCCTGGAGTCCTCAGCACAGGAGGAACATGGACATCTTAGAGCAAGTCCAGAGGAGGCCCCAGGGAGACCTTATAGTGGCTTTCCAGTACATAAAGGGAGCCTACAGGAAAGTTGGGGAGGCACTCTTTATCAGGGAGTGTAGTGATAGGACAAGGGGTAACGGTTTTAAGACGAAAGGGCAGAATTAGATTGGATATTAGGAGGAAGTTTTTTACTGTGAGGGTGGTGAGGCACTGGAACAGGTTGCCCAGGGAAGCTGTGGATGCCCCATCCCTGGAGGTGTTCAAGGCCAGGTTGGATGAGGCTTTGAGCAACCTGGTCTAGTGGAGGGTGTCCCTGCCCATGGCAGGGGGGTTGGAACTGGATGATCTTTAAGGTCCTTTCCAACCCAAACCATTCCCTGATTCTATGGCCAGGGCAGCAGGAGGCGTGCCATAGCAGCACTGGTATCACCCCCAAGGGGACTATGGGTGCTACAAAATCCAGACAGTGTACTTCCCCAAAACAACTTTATTAATTTTCCTGTCACTCTAAAAATTACCAATTTTTTAATGACTTTCATAGATGAAAGATTAATTATGTGTCTGCCTCTTTATCTGATATGCAGTTAATCCAATCAAGGTTTTTTTGTGTACTAATGCTAGCACAGGTGTGCAGCTAATACAGGACACCACTGCAGAACTGAACTGTTGTTTACAAAGCAGATTAGAACATATTCTTTATTAAACACTGGATCTGTCAGACCACTCTTATGACACTGAACAAGTTTTTCATCTTCAGGGTATAATCTCTTATGCATTGTAGTGCCAAGTCTGGATAGCATGTTTCAGGTGTTCTGTGTGCATCTCATATATGGAAACAAATCACATCTATTTTGCAGCTGCTTTTTCCATGTGTCTCTGTAAAGCAGTATGAAATACTTCCACAGCAAAGTCGACATCCTTTTTAGTAATGCACATGGGAGGTTTAATTCTAAATGTCTGAGGAGACAAAAACAAAAAAATACTTAAAATTTTATGGAAAGAATACAGTTTCTAGCAGCCCATCTAGGTCAGCACGTACCACCTGCCTAAAAAAAATCTAAAAATGTGAAAAATAATATATAAGAGAACAACAGAGCAGGGACTAAGGCTTCTGATAAACGCACTCTGAAGTGGGGCAATTTTGGACTTGTCTGCATCCAACGCCCTACTCCACTCTTGTGACAAATCAATTTCCTCCAAAAGAGACCTGTCTAGAGTAGGTCACATTTGCAGCTCTGTTACTTCATACAGTGCTAGTATAAAACCTGGCAAGGGTTAGCACGAAGAGAGAACAGCGATGTACGTGTATTTTCCTTTGCAGCAGCTTTGCCATAGGGAAAAGCAGTATCTATGGAGAGTGGCAGCCTTGCATTGTGTCAGCTGATTTGCTGTTATATTATAGGCTTCTAAGATCAAGTGTTACAAAAGAATCACTAAATACTAACTTTCAGTTAAGGCACTATAGCTTGAATGCATGTTCATCAGGAAGGGAAATATGCATCGTTTAACTTGGCAAGAACTTAAATCCAAATGTCTGATCTACATTATAATGTTTTCAAGAGTATTTAACTTCCATAAGAATCTTAAACTTTCAGTTTAAGCTTTCTGGCTTCGTGTCCCAGGACTTTACGCAGCAAGAGTGGAATAATGGTCTTTCCCACCTACAGCACCCATCTGACAGAGAAACTCGTGAACAGCACTCTAGCGATACACAATCAGATTTTACTATACTCTGAGTCGTTCTGCTCAGCGACTTGTGGAAGAAGCAATGAAGTGATGGATGCAACATCCTATTGATATTAGTCATCCATCTCTCTCATACAGAAGTTGCTTCCTTTATGTCACCAGGCTTCACTGACCTGACCAGCCCTGAGACAGTTCTCTACTATTAACTCACATGCTGTAAGCTGGTGACACAGTGCTCGAGGTGCAGCATGGTGCATCTTCAGTTGGTAGTTCACACACAATTCTCACTTTTGTGCTGCATTGCTGAACCTGCTATTAATTACTTTTTTTTTTTTTCTTTAATTACCATCCAGGTGGAATGCTACCAGATCTCCAGAATTAAAGAATTAGCAAACCCAAAGTTATTTCTGTGCCGACAGGTCAGGTGCTAACTTGAGCAGCAGCAAAAACTTAGCAGACCCGAACATTGCTGATTTCTTCTAATTTACACACATTAAGGCTCCTGGGAGACGTTATAGCAGCCTTCCAGTATTTAGAGGCCTACAGGAGAGAAGGTGAGGCACTCTTTTATCAGGGAGTGTAGCAGTAGGATGAGGGGTAACAGTTACAAGCTGAAAGAGGGCAGATACAGATTAGATATTAGGAAGAAATTTTTCACAGTGAGGGTGGTGAGACACTGGAACAGGTTGCCCCGAGAAGTTCTGGATGTCCCAACCCTGGAGGTGTTCAAGGCCAGGCTGGATGAGGCTTTGAGCAGCCTGGTCTAGTGGAAGGGACGTTGGAACTAGACAATTTTTAAGGTCCTTTCCAACCCAAACTATTCTATGATTCTATGATTACAGTACATTTTAGAGGGAAAGTTGTCCCTCCAAAGGAAAACTGCAAGCTTAGAGGTAGTTCAGCATATCTGAAAAGAAACAAATAGCTCCTGCCCAATGCGTAAATTATGCAAAATTAAACAGAGATCCTTCCTAAGAGTATATGTTTTCTAGTTTATTTACAAAAATAAAGTTAATTTAGCTTGAGGGAAATGGGATGTAGTTCACGAGGATGGAAAATAAGCTTTCTGTATAACCAGAGGTTCAATACCTGACTATAGAGTCCTCCTCTGCCAATCAGAACCCCCATGTCTTTACAGTCCTCCCAGATCTGATTGATTTCTTCAGCTGGAAGAGGCTGGCGACTGTCCTAAGGAAAGTGAACATTACACTTCACTTGGATATTCTAAATAAGTTCTATGAAAAAGATGGATATATTCCAGTCTTTCCAATAAATCCCACTCCCATCTCTGGCTGAAAACATTAGCTGCATATTTATCTGCTTTCTAAGATAAGTTTATGCAATTGAGGTATCTTCACTATCTATTTTTTATTAGAAAATCTTCATATTATTTCAACAAATAAAATGTGATATACCTTTCAACAGCACTGTAAATTGACAGGCATAAAATATATCACTAACCTTATCTGTCACCATTTCTACTCCAATCATAAGTCCCTTGCCACGGACATCTCCAACAATCTCAAACTTATCCCGTAGTTTAGCCAGCTCCAGTAACATATATGTTCCCACATCCTCACTGTTTTTTTGTAGACCATCTTCTTCAATAGCCTGGTTAAAATGGTGTACAATGACTGTGTTGCAGGAAAAGCTTCCAATACAGTTAGTTAATCCCCATTTTACCTGATGACACATTATGTTTACCTCACTTCCTTGCAGACTGTGTTCCTTCACTACTAATGTCCTTATATTTTTCTTCTCTTACAATCCTCTGATGGCATCAGAGTACAATTGAACATAATATTTTCATATTGCTGTGGCATTTTTTTTCACATTTTACTTATTATTCCATACACATAATTCAGTAATTCATGCTCACATATTGTCATAACTGAAAAATACCTGATGAGCTGGATTATTTTCAAAATCTTTTAATTCCTTCTCAGTATCATGAGAAGAATATAATTTGACAAGGCATACCTATATGTATTAGGCAGCCTTTTATGGAACAACCTGAGTTTTAAAATTAGATTCATCAACACCATGCTTTTTAATCACAATTGGTTTCCTACTCTGCTCTCCTTAATCAAAGTTCTGATATGCAGCCAGATACCAGCACTGACGTGCACAAACTATTTTAGGAACGTAATATTTGCATTAATAAAACTCACATGAAAAAACAAAAAAACCCCCACAATTACAGAAGTTAAAGTGGGTACTTCTCCTTTTTCTTCTTTTTTTTTTCCCCCTTTTTTCTTTCAACTCAGTTTTTTTCTTTCTGACTCTGACAACCTCATTGGACTTACTTAAGATCCAAGCTCCAAGTTACTTCAGAGCCAAAAAAAACCCAAAACATGGGTTCGGACTTCCTTATTTGTAAACTGGTTTTTCAAAATCTTTTTATTTATATGATCAACTTATTTTACAAAATAGCTTAAATGAACCCCCAAAACACTGAGGAAAGTAACATGAATAGAAACAGTGTCTGCTGTAATGAAGTGAGATTCACAAACAAATGGTCTGTACTCAATCAAGACAAATTAAATAGGTACCTACTGCCCACTGACTGATTTTCTGCTGGATAAGTGAAATACGTTGCAATTTTTCTATTGTCTTTTCATGAGGGATTTTTTTTTTCAAAAGGAATTCTGACCTTAGATATTTTTAACTATCTAGTCGTTAAGGCTTTTTAGGCATAAGGTAAAAGCTGCAGACTTAAAACAATTTTGTTAAGCTTGTGTGTCAGAGAATACATTTGGTTTAGCTGAGGATTTGCACAGCCCTACAAAAGAGCTAGCTAAGGTTTTGAGCAACTACCTTCCTCCATTTTTATTAACAAAGTAAAGAATGTAAGGGAGAAAAAGAAAGATGATTCTGAAAATATAACTGGAGGACTCCTATCCTTGCTAGAGGAATGAAAATTTTGCAGTGGAACTAATCAGCAATTTTTCCTACACACTGGCCATGTATACATAATACATGCATACATTTATGCATTTTATACAGTCATTTAAAAATTGTCCACATATAACTTTATAGTAAGAAAAAATGTAAACATTTTTAATCTTTTGCTAGAAGAAACATTGTGGAATATATAAATCTATATAACATTCCCCATACGTCAAGAACTGCTGCTCCAACTACGCAGGCCAAAGGGCTTCCTCCAAATGTATTAAAGTGAAGGTTTTGAGCCAAGGAACTTGCAATCTCTAAAAGAAAAAGAACAACATTGGTTACTCTTACAGTTGCCTCATGTTTGGCAAATATAACTATGTTAAATTTGCTGTGCTTCAACCCTGCTTCTACTGGAGGCAATGCAAAAGGAAGATTTTTTTTTTTAAAAAGGCTGTCCAAAAAATGACTATTTGCACAAACCATAGTGTCTAGCAGATGCTAAAAACAGACTTTTAAGCTGTCCCCTTAAGCTGACATCTACAAATTTTCTTCAGTAGATTCAGCCAGTCATTTTTATGAATCAAGCAGCTGGCTCGTATGCTGCCTTATATACTCGCAGTACACTGATTAGTTAAATAGTGAATTCAGTAAGGATTTCCAGGATCTATTACCAGCTCTACCAATGACTCACAAAGTCATTACTCACAAGTGAGTAATGAGAATCTTAATTCATTTCTCAAAAGATTATTAATAAAGCTCAGCTCTTTGAACTCACATCTCTCCAGTAAGTAATTATTATAGTATATTTTGTTATTGCTCTATTTTAAATCTTAGCAGAACAGAACACTTATACCTTTTGTTGTAACAACAGCTGCCATTGGAAAGCCATTACCAATTCCTTTTGCCAAAGTAACAATGTCAGGGACTACATCATGTGTTTGAAATCCCCAGAAATGGCTGCCTGTCCGTCCAAATCCTGTCTGTACCTTTGAAAAGAAAAATCCAGATAAATCCCCATCCCCTTCTCACATTTTACAATGGTTTCTTTTTCTTGTCTTTCTATTGTTACTGACTTGCATTAAACTGCAACTACATCTGGAGCCAACTTGTATTAGGAGCTTCACTCAGACGGCTTTGCATAAAATACTATTTATCGTAATTAGGTTTTTCTTTCACACATGGAAGAGATAACATGTCACCACATCTTAGGCACGGTGAGATGCACAAGTAAGCTTCAGTTGCCATTTCAAAACGGAGAGGAAATGTAGTTGCTTATCACATTTCAAAAGCAATCCCATGACTGATATAGCTTTAGCCAATGAAATTCTATTTATAAAATATATTTGCAGAGGTACAGCAATCAACTGCCTTCTAGAGTTTATGTATGCCAACAATGCTCACAAGAGGGAGTGTTATTGTGACAAAGCTCACATCACAGCTGGCATTTATTAGCTGCATATCATCTGTGTAAATTTTCTGCTCCAAAAAGGTAAGGGCTGAATTCTGCTACTAACATTACCTGTGTCTAAAATCAGAATACCACACAGCAGAATAAAGGCAGTAAAAACTGGGAGGGTCCTATACTTGGAGAGATGCCCTGTGTTAAACTTAAGCTATAGAACATATAGCATTTCACTTAGATTATTTCCAGGCTTCCAGTTTGTCTTCACTTGGATTTTTTTAAGATGACTTTCCGAGGTACCCCAAACTCTAGAGTTCTTATGTGAAAAAGAAACCAAACCAAACTCACTTCATCTGAAATACAAACACCCCCTCTTTCCCGTACTAGCTGATAAGCTTCCTTTAAGAAACTTCTTGGGTACTGAACAGCTCCATTAACACCCTGCCAAGACAAAAAGGACAATGTCTTCAGGAACAGACAAGGAAACACCAGTTCCACTGTGTGACTATCCTACAATAAGAAAAAATACCAGCAGCCCTCAGGTAACAGCAAGTTTCTGGCTTCAGCAGTGAAACTGCTTCAAAATGTTCCTGCTCAGGTCACCCATTCCCATTCCACAGGGCAGGCTGCTCTTCTGTTATTTTGTGTTGGCATAGATGTTTGTGAGGCCATACTACAAACTGGGCCACTGTAAGACAAAGTCAATTAAAGATAAACTGCCAAAACAAGTACCTTGAAAACCTACACACTGAGAAACCCAGAAACTGTGTTTGATGACAAAGTTAAACAGAAAATTCATATCCCATCTTTGGTTACTTTGTTAAAAACATTGTTTCCTCTATTTTTGTTCACCTTGCCAGTTTTCATTTGGATCAGAAATTCCACCCTATACCTGGACTGCAACAGCTTCTTAGACTTAAGTATCTACAAGCTTTGAAGACAGCAAAACCAGAGAACAGCTCCAACTTTCCCTGTGGACACAATTCTCACTTTTTTTTTTTTTCCCTTGCCTTTCTTGTTCCCAGGATATATTCTCCATTCTTCCTATTTAAGAACCACATACACAGCAGTTCTGAAACTAGGGTGAAGCACCAAGAGAATTAATCCTGTGACCACCACTTGCTGGAGAGCTGCTAAAAATATAGTGGACAGCATGGCTGCGAAGAGGTGGAAGGGGGACCCATTTAAATTTTACAGAAACAGTAAAAAAAGAAAAAGAGAAAAGCAGTATGATATTTGGAAGAAGGTATTAGAAACTAAACAATACCATGCATCACTATTTAAATGCAGAAAAAATGTGTATGTTTAATCATGATTCTCTAATTTAACTTAATGAGCAAAATTCTAGCTCCATTGAAATTAGTGACAAAAGATGAAATCTTTAGACAGTCCATCCATTCTTTCAAATACTTAAGGTGCTTAAGACATTAAAAAATAATAAAAATAAGCCAAAAATAGCTAAGGACTATCAGATTGGAGTGTTTCACACTATTTGTGCTACCACAACTAAGAAATGGCAAACTACCTACTTGAATTGGTTCAGCGATAAATCCAGCTATTGTCTTTGGCACCGAGGTATTCAGGGTATCTTTGAACTGTTCAATGTACTGGTTGTTTGCATGACATGCACCTGTTTACAGGGAAAACAGTTTAAAGGGATTGTACTTAAAATGACACAAAACTAGCTTCAAAACAAGAAATTACATATCTAAGTAACAAGTATTATCTGACTGCATGGTAAATATCACTTCTCAAATACACAATAAAAGGCTAAACATTAAAGGAGATAGTTCCTTATTTTATCTCAAATCATTTATACTCTAAGGAATGCCAGTTACAAAACAGCAAGGCAAAGCTGCCAGATGATGTTATACATTATACAGGTCAGTAAACTGTAGGTTAGAGAAAGTGTTTGTGAATCACCTGCATCAGCTGAAGGAATAAGCAGACACTTTCTCAGAGGTTAATAAACATCAGTGTAAGACATAAGGAATCGTTAGGTTAGTGCAGGTATGAGGATTCTGGAGAATACAGCTGCAACAGTCCATACTGAAATAAAGAACAGAGCAACCAGTATAGCTAATGCTCCCATTCACTAGAGGGGGCCAAGGTAAGAAGAAAACATCCTCTTATGTATGCATGTGAATTAAAAGTACTAAAGAGTGCCTGTTCAAACAGTGGAAAAAAAACACTGAAATTGTTGTTAACAGGAGAGCAGTTAAGGAGCTTTCACACTGTGCTGCATATGGAATGCTTTGCCTCATATAAAGCCTTCTACCTATCACTGGCTTCAGGTTGTCCTTACTATTCATATTCCAAAACAAAAGCTGGAGAGCTGTCAAAACTTCAGAAACTGCAGAAAACACCCATCAACATTTCTGTTCTTCCTGATGTGCTTAACTGAGTTCCACAGCTTCCAGATGATTACAAGAAATGCTGGAAACAAAGGCTGGGATTTTAGGAAGAAATCTGAGAGTATGAGGTATCACCTGCCCAAAATTTTTCTCAGTGGGAAGCAGGTGTATGAGGTTCTCTGCAATATTTGCTTTGGTTGCCCTTGCAAATCCTAACCAGAGGTCTACCTTTCTTGACGAGGTAAATATAATCTATTTCCACAACTCTCTACTATTCTCCAATCTAAAAACCAAGTATGTTTTGCCATTGACCAACCTTCAGAACAGCTGCATTTCCGAACAGTTTGCACTGGAGAATCTCTACAATGGCTGCCTCCCCACGGACCACGAAAAACATCTGGCAACATTGTCTGTCAAGCATAAGAGAAATTGCAACAGAAATTTCACAGCACCTTTCTAATAGATGTTTTGATCATACTTAGGAATGACTAATGAAAAAAAAGACTTAAAAAAGACTATTAAAGGGCATGCCTAGTTCAAGCAACTTGTCTGAAGAGCACTTGTGAAATCATACCAAACCTCCCCTTCAAGAAATGGTAGCACAGAGACAGTTTTGAAACCAACAAGTTTAGACTATTGCAGCAATAGTCATTCAATTGATGATTTCCTTTGTTTTGCTTTTAAGTGAGTCAGCAGTTTTGGTTATCTAAGATTAATAGTAACATTTCTAGAGTTATGGTAGTACTTCAATAGCCGAAGTATGATAAAAATCTGCAAAATACAGGGGGTCAAGCAGATCTAGTAGAGTGATTACAGGCTGGAAATTGGCAGCTCCAGCCTTCTGATCCTGACTGCTGATAAAACATGACATGACTTCAGGCAACTCATTTATTGAGACAGCTTGGGAGTCTGCTATAAAGGAGCCTTCCTATAGCCATTGCTATGGCTGAGCTATCACCAGCACAGGTCAGAGTAACCAATGCCAGCTTCTAGTAGATGGAAAGTCATTTGCATCTGCTCAAGGGCAGGGAGATAACATATTGACATTTATTCCCAATGGATCTCCCCAACAGCTATGTCTCCTGCCTTGCTGAGACGAGGGACATAGGTTTTTTCATTCTGGAGGAGGATGTACTTCAGACCAGCTGAAAGCTGCTTTGCACAGATTTGCTGAAACAAACTTGAGAAAAAGGCTTCCAAGCATTATTACTTTGCACGTTACATAGACTTCCATGCACGCACCAAGCATGACGAAAGCACTGTAAATCACGACCACTTGTGCTATGGCTGTCCTGGCTCCAAATTAGTTTAAGTAGAAGGAAAGGGAGAAGGAAAGGGGACTCCTTAGACTTACACAGCAGGAACAGCTCATCGTCGTTTAGTTAGTAACCATAAAGCACTTTGAGGACAGAAAACATACCAATTGTTGAAATATTCAAATAAACAGTTATACAGACTATTCAAAGAAAAATAATAAAAATCTCACTGTTGAACAGCCAAAGCCATTGGCAACACCATGCTTATAAAGACCAATAGACGTCAATCCCAGTGTGTAAGGGCTGCCTCCATGGTATGCTCCTCTGTGCAAACAAAGCAAGCATATGAACGTCACTCATTTCCAAGAAGAGGCTGTGGTAATATTAGTTCTGAGAAGGGATACTTCTGAGCTACAAATTATTGGGGGAAATGTGCATTGTTACACTCAAAACAAGAAGATTCCTACTGCCATTTTTGCTCTGGTTTTGGAAGATCCATGACTGCCCATCTGCATTGGTTTCCTGAAATTTGAAATGATAAAATTGTGAGGTAATGTTTGTGAGGAGAAGAGAACAATGGTTGGAACCAACAGCAATTCAGACAGTGCCTCACTAAGTTCTGCTGTAGCACCTGAGCCCTACAGAGCAAACATCTCTGTTCTTTGAATCTTGGGAACTGCTGCTCTCTCCAACAGATGCTGCCAATCATTAAACTACATGGTGGTTTGCTGCCAGTTTTATACACAAAGCCAAAGTTCATTATTGAGAATATACAAGCTGGGTGGGTACCCAGTGTTCTGATAAACTGTATAACATAAAAATACCACTCTTCATAACAAAACCTTTTATTCTAATATTTGAGGTTTCCTGGGATGCATAGTAAAGAGAAGAACTGCTTACATGGGTATTTACATAGCACTCACCCCTGCACCACGTCTGTCGTTAAGCCTGAAGAGCCGTTTGTGTACCTGTGCAGTGAACTATGGTTCAGGGATGTGGCAGAAAAACAAGGCAACAAAACAAAAAAATCGTTCTGAGAGTTAGCTTTCAGACAGAGTAGTTCCCTTCTGTGGTTCACTGCACTGCTATTCCAGAGGTACTTTTGTACCTCCACAAAGTGGGGCATTGCAGGGGTGGAATGAAGGAAAAAAGGAGCAACTGCTGAAGCTTGCTCTGAATGAAGATCCACCAAAGCACACCCTTAGCACAGAGACTTGACCCTTTTCTAAGTAACAAAAGCAAAAATTACAGGTTTGGTTTTGTATGTAAACTTGTCCTAATATATTGTATCAAATCTTCAATGCCTGTTTTACTCCTCCTTCTTAAGTAAAATAATTTTATAGCATTCTCCTCAGCAGATCGGGGATAAAAGAGTTCTCTACTACTTCATGGTTTAGGAGAACCGAGACAGACTGATCGATCACACACACAAATGAGTTTTGCAAAGATCTGTCATCATTACCTGAAAGAGATTATGTCGAAGTTACGAGTATACAGCCTTGCCATGAACATGGCCAAATCGTTGGCTTCTGACCCACTGTTGGTTAGATAAACCACCTGCAGGAGAATGCTCAGGATCAGTATAGCACATAACAACCACCACCTTCTTTGGCACCAGGCCATGTCACTTAGTAACACTATGAGCTATAACCTATCACTACTACAAGGTGACTTCACTGCAATAAACTTTGTGTTGCCCATACACTACACATAAGAAAGACGATCAAGCTGATCTACTCAGGCAGAGTACAGAAAATCTTTCAGAGTTGGAGATTTTCTCAAGGTGGAAGAGCAATTCAAAGAAAAATGAAAGTATCTTGGTCAAACTGAGCATGACTGACTGAAAACAATCTTCACACAGGTAAAAAGGGCTGTACAGTGTCCCTGCATGTCTCTAGGAGCGACATAAACAGACACAACCGTGGAACAGAAGAGGTAAGCAGAGCTTGCTTATTGGGAGCAAATGAGAATTAAGGGGATATCCAGAATGCAAGTCCTGAGCTTTGGAAACAGCTCAAATTCTAGTGTCACCACTTTTAATTTTCAGAAGCGATTGGGACTCTACACTGCTTAAACTATGCAATGTTTTACATTTTTAATTTTTTTTTTTAAACTCTCCTTCAATTTTTAAGACTGCAATAGCTTCATGCTTTTCTGCTAACTCAATATAATTTTATTGCCAGTTTATTTGACCTGAAAACACAATATTTTTCTTACTGTTTCTGGTCATATGAAACATGACATTCATGTGGTTTATGTATCTAAGTGTCAGTAAACCTCACTATAGAAAGTACTGTCAAATATTTTTCACTATTAATTTTCATGAGATCAAGCAAATTAAAGCTAGCTACATAAAAGAATAGTTAACATCTTCTTAGTTCCTTCAGTAATTTTTAAGCTGGCAACAGCCCTTCACAGTGACAACTGGAGGGAAAGAACAAACAGAACAGGAGCTTCGGATATTATGCTTGTCTACATCTGGGTCTAAAGAAAAGGCCTTGAGGGTCATCATGCTCTCTTTATCCGGCAGTCTATAGCCTCTATACTGGTCTTCTCTCCAGAGATATCGTGTCTCTCATTTATTTAATAAATATTTTTATATTAAATATTTCTTATAAACACACACCCCCTTTACCAGCCCCTGCTCCTGCGAGAAGCAAAGTACCTTAAGTGGATCTGGAAGAAGAGAAGTTAGCTTTTCAGCATACTCCTGGATTGATGGGTGCATGTAGATATTAGTAGTATGCCACAGGCGAGCAAGCTGGTTTTGGGTAGCCATAGTTACCTTCCTGCATATAACACAAGAAGAGACAAAGGGATTCAATTCAACACACACAACGTACATATACATGCACACACCTACCTATTATTAATTCTGAAAATACAGACACCGCGCTATTTGCCAGATGGATGAACAAATAGACAAAATTAATTCTTCAAAATGTAGTGGATATTGACCTTAATATTAGACATACATGACCACTTAGTGAATTATGTTCCGGTTTTATGCTCACAGTGCCACAGATCAACGAAGAGCAAAACCAACATAGGTATCTCCTCCTGTGTTTTATAATATATATCAAACAATAACAAACTTACGGGTGACAGTGACCAACACTGACAGTGACAATTCCAGCAAAGAGATCAAGGTATCTTTGTCCTTCATAATCAAACAACCATTGCATATGTCCTTGATGCAGCAACAATGGCTTCTTGTAATACATTTGCAGTGAGGGAGAAATATTTTGTTCGCGAATCTTCTGCATACGTTCATATGGATAGGACTGAGTGGAATAAAAAAGTCAGTATCCATTTATGCTTTCTGAAGATTCAGACTAGTGGAGCTGTAGTGGATCACATAAGATTACACAGCTGTCTACAGCAGTTGCTCACAGAACTAAGATTTTAACAAATTCTGGCACACAGAGGGTTCTACTAACCTCTGAAATTCAGTTTTTGAAGTAAGACTCCTGTTCTGCACTTGCACTTATCTTAATACTTAAAGTTTTTCAAATCAATAATTAAGCCATATGTTATAGAATTGTCACACAGGTGCATCTATAGGTTATATCCTGGTTGTAACAGTATTGGGTTTTTGCCCAAACAAGCAAATTATATAATCATATTTAATGCAGTAACTATTTCTAGCAGATGAGCTTATCACTCAAATCTAGTAATGCAGTCTTAACCAAATTCAGTGCAGTATACATGACTTACTTTGTATTTTTCAGGTACAAAATCGCAAGGAGGCATTTTTGGTTGTGTGGAGACAGAGCTTTTCCATTTCTGCTGCCTAAAGGCAACTACAAAATAGTAAGAGAATTATCAAACACTTATCAAAGTGCACATCAGAAGGAGTTTCTCAACGAGCTTGTTCACAGAACACACCAGTTATGGTCAAAGCACGGTGTGAGGTCTTTTTGTCTAAGGTTATTTTCTTCTCAGGGGAGAAAATTAAGTAACATATCTTTCTAAAGGCAAAATAGGTCAATAAAAAAAAAAGCAGCACTTCTCTCATCTACTAAAACTCAGTTTTCTGTTTCACATGAAATTTTATTTTGACAGAAAAATACTTTTTAAAAAAAGTATTGGTTTCCAATACAAGTTCTTATCTGGGAGCAGCAAGAGCAGGAATCCTCTACAAGAGCACGATCCAGGAGCTCAGGGTGACCACAGCACAGGCGGGTGGTCAGACAGACCAGGGTGCAGTCCCAACAGACCCAAACAAGGTGCGCAGAGCAGGGTCCATGGGCGGTGTCCTACGTAACTGCAAGAGACGAATCAGGTCCAGGATCCACCCAAGGAGCTGGGGCCAGAGTCAGGGCTGGAGACAAGGCTACAACATGGGTTCAAGGTCCATCCAGGAGACGGCGCCAGAAGCGGGACTGGTGGCAGGGCTGTACCCCTGGCACAGCTGAGGCAGGGACCCCAGGCTCAGGGCTGAGCGGGAGCAGGGCTCCTGGGCAGTGGGCACAGCTGGAGGCCCCGAGTGAGGCTGCTCGGGGCAGACAAGGTGCGCTCAGCTCCCTGACAGCTCTCGCTGCCATCTCCTGTCCTCCTTCCAACATCCTAAAAACATCACGCTGTCCTACCTTTCATTTAACTGGAAGTGTAATTAAGCAGGTATTGGAAAAAAGTTGCCATTTAAATGCACTATCTTTCTGCATCCCTAACACTATCCGCTAAGAACCACACATTTACTTTTATAGTCTAAGATTCTAAACAGTTTCTAAAACACAATAAAATGTAAATGAATGAAGAACAGAGTTTCCTGAAATAACTTACGCAGTCACTTCCCTTCCAATCACTTACAGCACTAATGAATTAATCATCTACACGAGCCCAGCCTCAAAAATATTAATTAAAACCTGCAAGTCAGAGACATGCCGCCTCTGCCTCTCCTCCAGAGGCATCCGCAGCTGCCCTGAACGTGCTTCTTTCTAAGCCAACAAACCACGCTGCTTCCATAGAAAAGCCCCCCGGCAGCGGGCTTTCGGGGACACACCCTGACCGCCCCGCTCCCCAGGAAAGCCCAGGCCTCGGGGGGCTCCGGGCTCCGCACACCGCAGCGGCTCCCGCGGACCCCCGCAGACCGAGACC